TAAGTAGTTAATTACAATTGAGAAATTAAATTTTTGTTGCTTTGTGCACGTGACGGCGGGGAATGTGTTGCTAAGGCGCCAACCTTTCTCCGAAAATTAGTGAGAAATTGTATGCATTGGCGCATTAGAATCCACCTTCTCCGATGAGCTTTTGTAAATTCTGTTTTCAAATCATATCAAATTTGTGCAAATATTTGCTGAAAAGTATCAGCAAGACAATTATGGCTGGCACACCACCGTACAGTGGGACGTGATACCTTGAAAATTTGAGTTGTATTCCCTTTTATTTGCTAAGCTTTTGTAAATTTATGCAAAATGTGTTGTTTGTTCAAAAACGTATCTCAGTGTGTTTTAGAAATGCGAGCGTTGCCTTGCTCCATGTCGAGGCGCGTTTTGCAGTTTCTACTAGTAATGTAATGAATCAAATGCATACATAAAAAATTGTAAAATTGCTTTAGAGCTGCTAAACGGTATTGTAACTACTAAAAAGGTAATTGTATTAAAAAAGAAAAAATAAGGTAAATTGAAGGTAGATGCTTATTGGAAAAAAATTAAGAAAATCTAAATATTTATGTATAAAACAAGCTTGTAAGTAACTTAAACCTAAAATCCATACACATTAAAGCTAATTATTGCGTATTGAGAAAAAGAAAATATTACGTGTGAATGAAAATATTCCAAAAGGAAACACAAAAAATTATTAAATAAAAAAATAATAAAAATTCATTAAACAAAATTATCGGTGTTTTACTTTCTTGAGAAAAATTTAGAGAGAGTGTTCTTTGACCACTGTGATGTCTTTGACGTCGTTTGAAGTATTAATCAATATAGTTGTAGATATATTTTGTAATTTCTGTTGTTGTTATCGAACCATCGTCGCTATTGATAATGAGATATTAAACAAAAAAGTGCATATTACTACCGAAACAGTGGGGCCAAAAGTAGTAACAGTACTATAAATTTGCTGAAATTTCGTATATGCATCATTCTGCACTTAGGTTAGGGTTATATTATAGGCCCATTGTGATACCATATAAAAGACTCATTATTTCCCTCCTCTTACCTTATAAGTGAAACCACAATGTCGTAGATACTAGCTGAAACAGCCAAACTTTCAAAAATGTAGTGAGGGAACGAGCGTTAAAGAGCCCTCGCCTCGATTGTCTCGGAGAGACACCCCACGACTCAAGACATCTCTTCGCATGCCCACTAAACAGCACTCAGTTAACACCTCTGTCCCTATGGACGGACCCCACAAAAGCTGCACGCTTCTACAACAACAACATCGAGCACCGCCAATGCAGGACAGTGACTTAGAAAGTGCTCTACGCTTCCGATTTGCTCCACGTTAAGGCAGCTAAGACAGTAATCGTTTAACGGTGTGCAGTCGCGGGTTCCCGTCAGGCAGAGCGCGGGGAGAACTCCAATTGCATGTCAGCGAATTGTACGCTCGAAGCGGAGGACTGGCCGAGATCTGCGTTATCCAACTCAGGCCAAATATGCCTTGCTGTCCTGCACATGGGTTCCACAGTCCACCTAGTGTTTGCCCGTTCGATAAAGACTTTTTCCAGTAGTAGTTTGCAGGAAAATAGCGGAATGCCCGCATTTCAAGCGGAATTGATTGCAGACAATAAGGTTCCTTTGCTTGCTAGTTCGTCTGCAGCACAGTTTCCCGGTGTGTCGCTAGGACTGAATCCTCCTCCCAATCACCCCTGTAGTGGATCTTTCTTTGGAAATTATCCCCCGGAAGCTCGTATCGATTCACTTGATCAAAATGTGTAGTCTGATAGCTTTACAGATTTCCTTTAGTTTACTATTTACCACATGAGTATCATGCACTCTACCCTTTCAGCCTTTGTCAGTTTGTTTGTCATGATCGTTTTTCCGAATTGACACTAAGAGCAGATGCCTTGGACTAGGTTTGCGTAACGCGTAAATCGCATAGTACTGGGGTGTGCTTACGAACTGCCATCAGGGAAAGATCATCGGCGTAAGCTAACACCGGACAACCTGTGCCCGGTAACTGTGCCAGCAAAGTATTCACCATCACGTACAAGTTGAGGAGATGGCTTGAGCAGTCATGGTGGTAGGTAACATTACTTTTAAAAAATTATATTCAAATGAAAAAAAATCAATTATTACAAAATGGGTATCAATGAAAATGGTTTTCAAAATCTTTTTTTCTTAAATTAACTTTAGGAGGGTTGCCACCTGTTAAAAAAATCAAATTCAATTTGAATTAAGGGAATCAGTTTGGAGAAATTTGTTTCAACATATGGGCGCTAATTGAAAAGGGGTTGAAGAGGGGTGCCACCTGCTTAAAATGTCGAAATAAATTAAATTATCCACAAGTTATATGAAATGTCAAAATATGGATGTCAAAATAAATAGTGTTAGGAAGTCTTTAGTTTGAACACTAAGAATATTTCTGTGGTGTTGGAAGAGGGTTGTCACCTGTTTAAAAATTAAATTCAAATAATTAAATAAGTTAAATGAATTATCAAAATGTGGGTATCAATCGAATGGGGTTTGAAAAGCCCTTATTTCTGAACGATATTCAGCGGGGTTGTCAAATGTTTAAAAAATTAGATTCAACTTCATTCAACAGTTAATTAAAATATGTATCGCAATGTCCGACAAAAGAACATTTAAGAGTGTTTTAGCGCGAAACAACTTTTGAAGAGGGTTGCCACCTGTTTAAATAGTCGAATGTAATTAATTTTGGGCAAGTTATTTGAATAATAAAGCGAAACAGTGTTAAAAAGAACTTGAGTTGGAACCTTTACAATATTTGAAGAGGGTTGCCACATGTTTATAAAGTGACATTGAAATAATTATTTAAGTAGTTGGATAAGTTACTAAAAGATGGGTATCATCGAAATGATTTTGAGAAGGCTTTATTTCTAAAATATATTTAGGAGGGCTCACACCTGTTATAAAAATCCAACTCAACTTAAATTAAAGCAATTACCTAATTCAAATGTGTATTAAAATTTGGGTGTATATATTGGCGACACACGAAAGAGTGTTAAGAAATCTTTAGTGCGAACACTAGAAATATTTTTTAGGTGTTTTAAGAGGGTTGCCACCTGTTGAAAAACTTAAATTATTTAAAAAGTTAAATTAATTAATAAAATATTGTTGTCAGCCGTAATGGGGTTAAAAAGGCTTTATTTCTGATATATATTTAGGAGGGTTGCCACGTATTTTATGAGCTGCTTTTAAATTATTTAATAAGTTAAATAAATTTTTAAAGGATGGATATCAATTGAAATGGGTTTGAAAAGGCTTTCAGGTAGGTTTTGCAATTCACCTCCGAGTAAATTTAAATCAAAATTCGTTTCGAACTCAAATTGAGCTTTATAGAAGTTCACTCGGAAACAAATTGAATAACCTGCCTGTTTATTTCTGAAATATGAGGGGTCAAAATAAAGACCTTGGACATGTGGATGTGCGATAGGGTTTTATTTTTTGAAATCAGAAACTTTTTATCGGTGCAAGGGGATTTAGAATTTGATACTATTAAAAACCGACTATGCGAAACGGCAACACCGATTTAGAAGCAATATGACACTCGAATCGCTTATACCCTAACTAACATTTACAAAGTTTGTAGGCTTCTGAAATTCTATCTTGGGCGTTTTAATACCGTGCGGGTTCCCTAGTTATTATTATGGACCGAATACACCCCCACCGCACACGAGAATTTCATTTCTTTGTTCGATTTCTAAGTCTAGTTTCTTAGTCCTGCTCACAGTAACGACAGATGCTCGTGTACTACAAATTCGTTTTACTGAGGTGATAGCGTAGGGATTAGGTTCCTGTGAAGTGCTCAGCAACAATTCGAAGCTCCTTCTTGTCTAAATCTTAAAGCTCTTAAGCTATTCCTAAAGCTTCTTGTGATGGACAGATAAAACCAAGTCATAGTTGTAAAATATCGTTTCCGTTGGTCAAGATATTTCCTAGAGGGCATGCCAGCAGTAAATTCTGTATACTTTTACAAGTCTTAAATCAATTTCTTTCGCAACTAACGATCTCTAAAAATACTAGCATACATACATATGTATATAGATTTGTTACAGCTTGATCTCAAAGTCATCCATCAACACATCGTAAAAATCTGATATCTGTGAAAGAGCAACCAGACGCACGAGCAAGGGCAACGACAATAGCACCAACGGCACCGCCAGCACCGAACACCATGGACACTGAGAATGGGGCTACAATGAGAACGACTGATTAGCGCGTCGAGTTTAATTGCCGGCAAAGCAACCGATGCCAACAACCACAACATATTGGCACTTGAGACACACAATCATCCTTACAAAAATACAAAAACAAAAATAATACCATGTTCTGACCGACATCGAAAACATGTTTTCGTTGGTAAAACTGGTTTTCGACCTAAGGCTTGTGTTTTCGTCCATGTAAAATCTGTCAAACGAAAACTAGTTTTCGCTGAAAACCACTTGAAAACTCACGTTCCACTCATTCCAATCGGTGTCTGCACTTTTTTTTTCGATTATTTATCGAAGTGGAAGTCATATTTTATCATCTTTAATACGTCATTTCGGATTTATTGTTAATTGGCTGGCCAAAATAAAGTGACCATGGAAGTAAAAGGTCGCTAATGAAAAGAATTGAAGGAAAAGTATTTTGGTTTTGTTTTTGTGTAGTAAAACTGTAAACAAAGGATGAAAGAAATGTCAACGAAAACACCAACAGTCGGTGTGAACAGCCTTCGGCCCACAATCCCAAAACTCGTTTTCAAGGTGTTTTCGTTGTCGGTCAGAACATGGTATAAGGCTACAATTTCACAACAAAAATACACACATGTATATGTGCTCGAGTGTTATTCTGTATGTCTCTACTTAGCTTTTCGAAAGCCGTATTT